CGATAAAATCCAACACATTGAGGTGAACAGCTGATTGGCCAGCCAAACAGGGTTGGCAGCTGTAGAGAAAGAATTATTTTTTAAAATGATCACTTGTGCGTTGGATTGAAAGTTTATTTCTTATGGAATTTTTAATGTTAATGATTGGGCTAATAATAAAGTTTCTTGCTTTTAATAAAGCATGCAATTGACATCGGAACTGTGAATGACAGAAAATTGGGGAGGCTGAGAGAGAGAAGGAGAAAGATGTTAACTACCTATCTTCTATAGAGGTTATTCCTTTTACACATTCTATTTTGCATGTTTGCTGGTGGTTAACTTAATTCTGTTTTTGGAGGCTAGTACAGTTTTTGTCTGTTAAATAAGTGAGGATGTTTTACTCTGCAGATCCTGATCATAGATCACGCAGATGTCATTGCCATGCAGGTACAGCAGGCATCTGCTTTCTTGCTTATGATATATCTTGCATTCCAGAAAAATCTTTAGATTTCAGTGATCTTGACCCATACTGGCTTAAAATTTCCAGAATTGGTCACATGTAAATACTGTGGTTGAGCAGTTGAACTGCTTACCCTCAAAGCAGCACGGAATGGATGTTATGCGCATGAGGCAGTGGTGAGCTATGCAGAGTACTTATTGTGCAGTCTTATTGTTTCTTCTTTCTTTCGTTTAATTAGCCTAAATATGATATTCGTATTTTCTCTTTTCTAGGTACTTGGATGGACATGCAAGGTTTTACCGTCAGTCAATAGTACTTGGTTATTTTTTGAATCCAGGTATGTCAGACCCAAACTCCTTATTTTTTACACTGTCAGATGTCTTCTTCCACAAACACACAGTAGGCAAGTCTTGTGTAAAATAACAGGTAGAAAATATATACAAATTTTTTCCATTGGGGTAAGTTAAATTTAGGTTAATTTCAGCAAAACAACTTTGAAACAAAGAAGGATGTGTGTTATGTAGCTGTAGCCGCACTATTATCACAGTTAGTTTTCTTCATCAGATTTTCCTGTACTTGCTTGGGTCACATGGCCTTCTGCGTTCACTGTGCTCATGCACAAAGTAGCATACAGATGTCGAGTTCTTGTGTGTGAATATGTTCTTGTATGCTCATTACACTGTGGTTAAATTTCACACTCTTTTCTGTTCTGTTCTTTGTGGGTGGTGAGGTTTTGGGGGCTATCAAATTGCTGTCACTCAATGGTTTCAGATGAACAGGGTGGGGAGTAGCTAACTCTTGGATAAATTATATTAGGAGATCTAACCTGACAATAATACTTTTGCAGATATGAATGCTCTGTTCAATCATCACTGCCTTAATTACGAGGGAAAGGTGCGTAGATTTTCTTTCTTAGTAAACTTTTGAGGTGCTTATCAAAGCATTCATGGCCTTTGCTATGTTTAGACCTTTTAATTTGATGCTATGTCTGTGGAGCATGTATATTCTGGTGCTAGAAGGGATGTGAGATATATGCAGTTTTTAAGGTGCCCTGTCTCTTTCGTTCTACTAGTTCTTGGAGCAAACATACTGAAAAATCTTTTGAGATCCAAATTTCTCTTAGAGGGCGATGTCCTTTTGCTGTGGGGATTTAAGTGGAAGTGCAAAGTCTCAATAGCTTTTCTCATAGCGTATTGTTAAGAAGCATGAATTGTCTTTGTTTTCATTTCTCTATCTCCATCAATGACTTGCTTATACTTTTTCCTCCGCTTACTTTTTTTCTGCTTTTATAAAGGTTTTTTAACATCTACTCTTTTAAACACTATGCAAATATTGAATGCATAATTGTGCGCCAAGGAATTAAATCTAGTCAAATTCACATGATAGTAACTTAACGAATGGCAAGAAGCAGGGTGACACAGACATTACATAATGCGTTGTGTGTGTCATAGCCATGAACTGATTCTTATTGTGCAAGAATCAGCGTCAAGCAAATACCACACTTCTAACTTCAAACATTTGAGTGCTAATACATAAGCAACAACGACAATAAACCAAGTCTCTGCTATATGAATACTTTCATACAAATGTTCGATCCTGTATTAGATCCTCTGTAAGCTTTAAATGCTCCATGTATTTGCTCATCTTCTGGTTCCACATCTTTCCAGATCTTCCCTTGCCCTTTTCAACAGTGTTTTCATCTCTTGCTCACCTCGTCACTGGAGCATTCGAATGTCTTTGTTTTAACATGACCAAACCATCTCAAAGGAGCCTCTATCATCTTATCTTCGATTGGGGATGTTACTAAGCTGATTAGAGAACCCGCAGAAAAATAACGAGAGAAAAGAAGAAAGAGAGAAGAAAAAGAGAGGAGAAGAAGAGAGAAAGAAAGAGATTGTAAAATCCAAGAAAGGGGCTTTTGGTTCTGTGTGTAACAGAAACCCTACACCCATCACGATATATTTATATTAAATATGAATTGTATATGATCATAATGCCCTTATATATGTAAAAAGGAATAAAACCTAGAAAATAAAATAATTCTACTCTAACACTCCCCCTCAAGCTGGAGCATATAGGTCACCCATGCCCAGCTTGGAACAACCAGCAACAAAGGCAGGACGAAACAACGCTTTAGTGAACATATCAGCAAACTGATCTCTAGAGGCAACGTAAGGAGTGGCAACCAACTTCTGCTTCACAGCATCACGAACAAAGTGACAGTCAACTTCTATATGCTTAGTTTGCTCTTGAAAAACAGGATTTCCAGCAATATAAATAGCTGCCTGATTATCACACATCATGTCAATAGGATGATTAATAGAAAATCCAAGCTCCTGGAGAAGAGATTTCAACCACAGCAATTCAGCCACAGTTTGTGCCATAGCACGATATTCAGCCTCCGCACTAGATCTGGCAATGGTAGTCTGTTTTTTGCTTCTCCAAGTAACCAAATTACCACCTAGAAAGGTGCAATACCCAGTCGTAGACCGCCGATCACACTTTGACCCAGCCCAATCAGCATCAGAATAGCCAACTAAGGTGGAAGAACCATTCGGTTTATAAATTAGTCCCTTACTAGGAGAGCCTTTAAGATATCGAAGAATGCGACAAACAGCATCCCAATGAGCCTTCTTGGGTGATTCCATAAACTGACTCACCACACTAACAGCAAAAGAAATATCGGGACGTGTAACAGTAAGATAAATTAGTTTCCCAACTAGACGCCGATACCGATGTTTATCTTCAGTATCATCTCCATCATCAACTCCAAAATTTTGATTTGGATCCATAGGAGTCTCAACTGGCTTGGAAGCTAGTGTACCAGTCTCAGATAAAAGATCAAGAACATACTTTCGCTGAGACAAATTAATACCTTTCCTACTTCGTAAAACTTCAATACCTAGAAAATACCTAAGAGCTCCCAAGTTTTTAATTTGAAATTGCTGTTGAAGAAAAGATTTAACCTCAGAAATTCCAGTCGCATCACTACCAGAGACAATTATATCATCCACATAAACAACAAGAATGACCACTCCCGACTCCTTGCGAACAAAAATAGAATGATCAGAATAACATTGGTGAAAACCACACTTGGAAATCACTGAACTGAATTTCTCAAACCATGCTCTAGGAGATTGTTTCAACCCATAAATGGCTTTATGTAGCCGGCATACTTTACTGCGATCCTCCCCCTGGGCAACATACCCAGGAGGTTGCTCCATATATACTTCTTCAGACAAATCACCATAAAGAAAAGCATTCTTGACATCCAATTGATATAATGGCCAATCAAAATTCACAGCAAGAGAAATAATAACACGAAGAATTAAGACGTGCCACTGGGAAAAAGTCTCAAAATAATCCACTCCATAAGTTTGAGTAAAACCTTTAGCAACGAGCCGAGCTTTGAGACGCTCAACTGAGCCATCCGGGTTATACTTGATAGTGTACACCCAACGACACTTCACCACATCTTTCCCAAGAGGAAGATCAACCAAAGACCACGTTTGGCGGGACACCAAAGCTTCCATTTCTACATCCATAGCTCTCTTCCACTCGAGATGAGACAAGGCCTCAGTGGTAGAAGTAAGAATTGTGTGAGTATGTAATGATAGAGCAAAGTCATGTAATGGAGGAGGAAGATGTGAAAGAGACACATAACGCTCGATAGGGTAAGCAAAAGAGGATTTTTGTGTACAAGAACGAGTACCTTTGCGAAGGGCAATCGGAAGATCGTCCGGACCAGGAGACAAGGAGGGAGATTGAACGGAGGGCACGGAAGAGCTGGAGACCGGTGGTGCCGTAGACTGCTTTCGCCGCTGATATACCTGCAAGGGAGGAGGTACGGAAGGACTAACGGAATCTAAGGGAATAAGTTGTGGAATAGGAGGATCAGCTACAATGTCAGTTGAAAATTCTTTACCCTCAGTAGAATAGTATGGTGTGCCCTCGAAAAAAGTAACGTCAGCACTGACATATTGAGTACAAGTCATAGGATCATAACACCGATATCCCTTTTGAGTACGTGAATACCCGAGAAAAACACATTTAGTAGCACGAGGGGATAGTTTATCATCACCAGGTCGTAGATTATGGACAAAGCAGACACACCCAAAGACACGCGGGGTAAGAGGAAATAACGGCTTGTCGGGAAATACAATGCGATTGGTATTGTTGATTGAGGACAGTGGAAGGCATACGATTTATGAGGTAACAAGCAGTAAGGACAGCATCACTCCAAAATGATTTTGGGACATGCATATGTAACAAGAGTGAACGAGCAACTTCTAGAAGGTGACGGTTCTTTCTCTCGGCCACACCATTCTGCTGAGGGGTATAAGTACAACTTGTTTGATGTATAATGCCAAGACTAGAGCAAAACAAAGAAATTGATTTTTGTGAGTATTCTAGAGCATTATCTGTTCGCAAAATTTTAAGGGATGTATTGAATTGATTAGTAACCTCACGATGAAATAATTGAAAAACATGTAAAAAGTCAGAACGATCATTAAGCATATAGAGCCATGTTAGACGAGAATAATCATCCACAAAAGTAACAAAGTACTTAAAACCATTTCTATTAGCAACACGGGAAGGTCCCCAGATGTCCGAATGAACAAGTTCTAATAAAGTAGATGCACGAGAATCACTACGACTAGGAAAAGAACTACGATGATGTTTCCCAAGTTCACAAGCCTCACACTCGAGTAGAAATTGATTTACACTCGGGAATTATTTGCTGTAACTTAAATAAAGATAAATGCCCTAAACGGGAATGCCATAATAGGGGGGGTAATAGGACTAGCAGCTAGACCATTGGCGTCAGCAGTGGAGACACCATCCAGATAATAGAGTCCATCATGTTCATGCCCTCCACCAATCTTCTTCTTTGTTTGAAGGTCCTGAAAAATGCAATAGGAGGGGTAAAATGTAACAGAACAACCAAAATTTTTAGTTAACTGACTAACAGATAACAAATTCAAAGGAAGTTGGGGAACATGTAAAACGGAGGACAAGAATAAGGAGGGTGTAAGTGAAATAGCCCCTGATCCAACCACTTGAGAAGAGGAACCATTAGCTAGAATAACTTCAGGTGAAGGACTAGAGTTATGGTGGGAAGAAAATAATTCTTGCTTACCCGTCATATGACTAGAAGCTCCTGAGTCAATGACACCCACGAGGTGCCAGGAGACAAAGTAGAGAAAAAGGCCATGTTACCTGTACGTGCAAGAGTGGCAGTGGATGAGAAATTGGAAGCCTCCAGTTGTTGGACACGCTTGATGAGTTGTGCGACCATATCTTCCCGAGACGCGGACTCAGAAGAACTACCCCCACTTGGGATAGATGGATTCGTGTCGCCGTAAGACACATTTCCAGCACTCCCTTCAGACATAGCAGCATTTGCAGTAACTAATCGCTGAGCCCACTCAGGCTTGCCATGCTTGGCCCAACATGTGTCAACAATATGACCAGATTTGCCGTAGTATATACACTGACGGCTATCTCGATCAGAATTTTGTCCACTACGTCCACCACCACGATCGCGACCTCCCCCTAAACCACGACCTCTATTAGAAAATCCACCATGACCACGAACACCACTACTAGCCACAAATGCTGAATTATCTTTAGATGATGTAGAAGACGGAGGGACAATGCGCTGAATCCGACAAAATGCTTCATTCATAGAAGGAGCTCTCTCTCCAGCAAGAAGCTGCCTCTTCATAGGCTGTAAGTCAGCAGTCAAGCCTGATAAAAACTTGGCCACCTGAAATTCAGCTCATTGTGTCTTTAGTGTCTCAAGATCAGTAGTGATGGGCTGATAAAGATTAAGTTCTTCCCACATGCCTTTCAAAGCACTATAATACTCTCCAAGAGACTTGTCCCCCTGTTTAAAATTAAAGATCTTCTCATAGAGCTCATAAACTCTAGACATGTTTTTGTCTTGTGAGTAACTCTCCATAAGATCATCCCACACTCCCTTGGCAGTTGTGTGGAACATGACATTAGCAAGCAATGGATGGTTCCATGCTATTCCATAACCACACCAAAAGTGTATCATTCTCTCTCATCCAGTCACTATAGTCTTTAGAGTTTTCAGCAGGGGGTTCTGTAGTAAGATAATTAAGTTTCCCTTTGGCATTAATATAAACCTTCATAGCTTGAGCCCATAGCAAGTAATTGGAGGATCCATTCAATTTAATGGTGGTAATCTGAACATTGACACTGTCCGTAGAAAACTTAGTGCCATTCATGGTGAAAATCTCAATATAAATACATCTACCACCGATCAAAAAGGCCGAAACTTCAGTGCAAGAAATAAAACAGCAATACCAACATATAATCAGATGCGATTGGCTCCATCAATCAAACAAAGGGATGCTGAAATCTTATAAATATAGGCTGCCTGATCCTTGAATCTGCTGATTAGGAAGTGTTGTAATCCATTGTCACAAACAGAACCTGATAAATCTGATTTCTCCTGATCTTATATGTATCGGGACTTGAAGAGAAAATAGGTAAAAATTGCAGCTTTAGGTGGCTACGCACCAGAGAAGGAATAGGGTTATTAGGGGACTCTCAAACCAGCAATAGGACTAGGGAATCAGATAGTCAAACCGTGCTCTGATACCATGTTACTAAGCTGATTAGAGAATCCGCAGAAAAATAACGAGAGAAAAGAAGAAAGAGAGAAGAAAAAGAGAGGAGAAGAAGAGAGAAAGAAAGATTGTAAAATCCAAGAAAGGGGCTCTTGGTTTCTGTGTGTAACAGAAACCCTACCCCCATCACGATATATTTATATTAAATATGAATTGTATATGACCATAATGCCCTTATATATGTAAAAAGGAATAAAACCTAGAAAATAAAAATAATTCTACTCTAACAGGGGAAACACTTACTTTTTCCTGGGTAGTTCATTTCTAGTCGTCTTTTCTCCGGTGCCCATACATCCAACAATACAATCTCATGTCTGCCACACTCATTTTATACTCTAGTTTAAATTTTTGTACTTGAGCAAATCTCATATTTAATGAAGTCATTAAAAATATTGTGGTACGGTACCTGAATAAACATTAAGAATAGGTAGTCTGTTGGTTTTCCTTTGTGTTACGATGTTCAATTTTGTGTTTCAAAGATTAAAATAAAAAGAACTAGGAATATTAACAGTATATGGGGGTGAGTTGGGGCCAGATCTTTGATGAGCCATCATGAGTAGCGAAGGAGGCGACATAGGGCTGGATTGGAGTTTTACTTTAAAGGATCTCATACGTGGGTTCCTATTTGAGAGAAGAAGGCCGATCTATGTCTAATCTTCTTGTGATAATGATGTGTGAGAGCCTTTCATTTGTTTTTGGTTCTTTTAGAATGCTTAATGTGGAAGGAGAGAAATTGTACTTTCCAATGTTCTCAGATGTTTCGCACAATCTTAACCAAAGAGTCTGTTCTGGCTCTCAATGACTAATTAATTTTCCAATGTGTATTAACTTGTGCAGGTGAAGTTGGTCTGCGAGTACAAAGGAATTCTGCCTAAAGTGTTAATCCAAGCGCGTCAAGTAAATGGCTTTGCTATACTCATTCTTGTGTGTAATATGCAATCAGATTCACCTATCTTACATTAATTTGATTGTGTTTGTACTTGGTATGACATCTCTGTTGCAGGGTAGACTTCGTCGTTAAATCAGAGAAATTCCTTTTATATTCCTTCCATAAACTTTGTCCTTCAATCCTAAAGATTCATTTTTATAGTCCCTCCATATGGTGCAGAGGAAGTGACCCATACTAGTCAATATACTTCAAGAGCCTTCAGATGACCAATTTAGTTTTGTAGCTACTGTTATTGGACATAATTAAATGGCTCTTTCCCATGAATTCTAAATACATACTGTTAATAGAGTAACCTGATGCAATAGGTATGAAATGTCACAAGTTCTGATTACTGTGAAATACTATCATATTTTGTTGAAATTTTTTTATTTCTATAGTTAGATATCAAATAAGCTAATTAGGGATTTGGTATTAAGTGGATTTTGTATATATATGCGCTACAAAGAGAGCCTCTACTTAATATCAAAATTACTCAAGTAAAGATGTATTTGGACAAAAGAAATGAGTAAAGATGTTGCCTTTTGTGTTTTCTCTCTCCTCTCTCTTGTGATCGCTAAAATCCTAACCAAATGGTTGTGAGAATATTTGTGTTGACTTTTACCATATTAATTGCAAATTTGATCGATAAGTGCTATGGCGTTAGTTGTTACTAGTTTACTCTTGCCGTTATCTGCTTGCCAGAGTCAAAATTATTTGTTTTTGGACAAAGTTTTGGATAATTAATAATTGCCTGACCTAAGTAGTCTTCATGAGAAGTAATGTTCCATACAATATTGGCTCTGTCCAACTTCCTGGTAGCCTTTCTTTTTAGATATACAGTTTTTGACTTTTGCTTATTTCATTTTTATAGATTTACAATGTTTCATATTCTTTTCTTTCATTGGATTAGGCGGGCTTCTTCCTCTGATATTAAAGTTTCTTCATTCCTTGCAGATCTATGAACGCTTTGATGCTGACTCAATAGCAGAAGCTGATGATGCACGGCTTGAATATTTTACTAAGGAAGTATGGGCGTGGTTATTTTGCTATTTTGTGAGCTATTATATTCATTTTATTCAGGACATTTAGTAAGCCGTGTAACTTAGGCCACGTCAGTCTGTCGCATTTATGCATCAGTTATATGTGCATTTTGCTTCATTGAGTTCTTTGTAGAGCAATGTCATTTGCTGAGTGGTTGTTTGTCCATGTGTTGGTTGAAGTTTGTTTTGGCCTTTCTCTTGCTGCTCTGATTCCGTCTTTTGGGCAAAGTTGATGTTGATCCATAATATTTTATTTTGATCTAATTCGTTTTATTAATTTGTTTTACATCCATCTCTGTATTTAAGTTGCATCTGAATTCCCTATTCCATCTTCCACCTCATTAAAATTGCATAATCTTTCCATTTATCCTATGATCTTCTGAATGTTCCTTTCCAAAACGGCCTATAATGTTGCTCCACAATACCTAGCCACCTAGCTAAGTTTTTGAAGATTACTTTAATGCACTCTGGAAAGTAACATTAAATTATGTGATATTTCAATAATGCTGCATATCCGTAAATGTATGTGATACTTCAAGTGTTTTTTTGGGTTAAATTTCTGGGAATTGTTACACAGTAATCTATGAGTTTCCTTTTGTTTTTCCTTGATGAACTGCATTTCATGCCGATATCTGTCTCTCGATACTGTGGTCAATTGATTTCTAATTTACGTCAACTTTGTGACTGTTAGGTGTCTCTAAATGTATGGCAAATTGACTGAGGTTACAAGTGAAATCTTGTGACTGTTTAATTTAAGACTTTTGTGCACTCTACAATCTGAATAATGAAATTTCACGTATGAATGTGTGCTTTATAATTTTCATCAAATCAATTGAAGAGGACAGCACCAAGTATGAACGTATTTGAGCATAATTTATATATAGTTGGAAAAGTAAATTTGAAAGAGGTGTGTAACCATGCCCAATGGAAATATACGATGAAGAATATTGAAGAATCATACGAGTGCTTATTATACCATTGAAATGAATGAGGCATAAGTGCAAATAAATGAACTGAATGATGCATATCTTAGCAATCAACTAGTGGAAAGAAAGCTAAAATAATGACTGAGAAGTCGATCTCCATGGGTTCATGCTAGGAAAATCTACGGATGCGTGTCTACCTTTCAAACGTTTTGTGAAGTTAAGGAGCCCGCTTAACAAACTCCTTCCCACCTTCATTTGTGATTGGTTTTCAGATTATTACCTTTGGGGTACAGTAGAGATGCTTCTGCACAGAAATCTAATAATTTGCTATATTTATTGGCATGCCTTTTTCAAGTCAGTTATATGCTTGTTTTTGTTATATTCTAAGTTGAGTTTCTTGGTGCAGGTATTCCCAAAAATTAAAGATTCAATACAGGTATGTTGACTGGAATTAGCATAGATAAGTGACAGGCATCCAGACATCCATCATCCACCCATACCCCCAAAACACGCACGCACATGTACACTCACACGTACCCGCGCACGCACACACCCGCGCACGCACGCACCCGCGCACGCGCACACCCGCACACATGCACACGCCCGCACACGCACCCCCGCACACGCACCCCCACACACGCACGTGTAGATTATGTCATTGTGGAGTTTGCGGTGAAGTTTTCTAGATTGTTATCAGATTTCTTCACAATAAATAGATCTTCCATATGGTATATGCAATAGATTTCTTGGCACTTGTACTGGATATGTTGACTATAGAATTTGTTATTTTCTTTGGCCACAAGATCTCTGCTGCTCTATTTGTGTGTTTAATTCTATTAGATTATTTGTATTATAAGGTTTCTGATGACCTTTTTCCATTATCAGAATATAATTTTTTCCCTCAGATTCAGTTTCCTCTCCGACTCATATTACTTTCATGACAAGAATGCAAAGCCAGA